AAATTCGAAGTGGTTCAGTCGTGACAGATGACAACAGAAGCACCAACAGATTCTACGCCAAAGTTTTATCTCTTTCTCATCTCGAGGATAGACGAGGATATGAACTTTTAAATGCACAAACACACATACACCGCATTGTTTTACATCGATTGGCTTATTTTTATTCCTAACCTATACTAACGATAATACGTATAACATTCGCAGAATAACGCTTCATATACAAATTTACGCTCATGTGAAAAACTGATGTGACCATTCTTATATACTAACCAGACATATTTTTCACCGCTTATGAGAAAGGTGAAATTATATCAAAACATGTTTAAAAATATAAATAAAAATCATTATTTATTGGGAAATAATTAAATATTTTATTATTTTTTGAAGAACAATTTTTTTTACTGATTTATTGTAAAATCTTCGAAATTAATTATATAAAAGAAATTCAGGTCTGTATCAAGATATTGGTAAAAAGGGGCTTGTCTAAAGAGCTTCGTCAGTCTTCGTTACCACTCGGTGAGGATCGTGCAATTCCGAACATTCAACTTCGGCAAATTTCGTCGAATCTCATTAACTTTGATATTTTTTTTTCAATTTTCATATCAAATATATCAAAATCTGAAATAATTATATCATTTTATAGAATTCTAATTACGAAATTTGAAATATTTGGTTAGAAAAATTGATAAAGAGTTTATTAAAATTTGACATTTTTGTGTTTCAATAAAAAGATTTCAGATTTCGTAAATATTATATCAAATTTTCTTTCCAACTATATTAAATATTCTTATTTTAATCTCAATCATTCTTAAAAATAGTATCGAAAATCTTTATCATGCCAAAATGTTCCGTAATTGTAACCAAATATACTAAAAAGTAACACCATAATATCAAATATTGCTACAAACTTTCTTTCCGTGCAATAATGGAACGAATTGATCGCCAGTACTGGTCCAGTAACGTTTGCCATACTTCGGCAGACATTGCTGGGCCAATGTTGGGCCGTATTGTCAGTCTTGGCATTTCGCACATGGGGATATATATAAAGCTCGATATAAAGTATACATTTGAGGTAATTTTAAAGAATTAATGAAAGTTAAAAAATCAAAATCACATTTTGGCAATAAAATTTTGCTTTCTCCACGAGGAAGCAAATTTTTTTGCTGATCGTAAAGAGGAAGCAAAATGTTTATGTAATGAACATCTGAATGTACAACTTGTTTTTAAAATTGGTCAAGTGCGAGTTACAATCACTTACCTAGGGTTCCGTTCACGATTATTGAAATGTTTATATACACTGAGAGACATTTTGCACCGTAACAGACTTTCGACAGACGGCTGCGGAGCATTCTAGCGGTCAGCTATGAAACTACGTTTTTGGTCTGCAGCCGTACAATTTTTGGAGCGTAGCTGTCCAAAAAATTGACGGCCGAAAGGTTCATTTTCATTTTTGGGCAGTCACGATACAAAATTTAGAATGCAGCGCACCAAAACCTTTAGAGATATATTTGATATTGAGATTTGAGATGGTTGGCTAAAAAATTGTTAAAGTTAAGATAAAAAGGAATTTTGAGCTTTTTTCAGGAATTTTTAATTTTTGTAGCGAAGCAATATTTAAGTCAATTTCAAAAGGGTTAGCTATATTTTTCGTGAAATTAAATGTGTCCCAAGTTTAAGCTTCTTAGCTCAAAAACTGTAAAAATTAAGACGGGAGGACACGCTTTTTTCAAAAAATTTTAAGTTTTTCGAATATAACTACTTTCTAAATCTGAATTAGTAGAAATGTTTCCTAATTTGAATTAGTGACTCACTTTTTGCTTTAGAATTAGTTAAATTTTATTAATTGTTAGTAAAAGTTACTAATAATTAGTAAAATCTTACTAATTGAGAAGCAAAAAGTGAGTCACTAATTCAAATTAGTAAACATATTTACTAATTTAGATTTAGAGAGTATGTGCAATCCAATTCCACACAGAAAAAAACTGAACTCAGAATGAGCCGCGTGTAGGCGGCAACAAAAATGAACCAGGTTGGTGGCGCCACTGTTTATGTCATTTAGCATTGGCTCATTTTGATTTGCAACAAAAATGAGACTAGGTTCTTTCTGTGGCAATCGGATTCGCTATAAATTTTGTTTAATCTACTCGCGAAAATACGTATGTATATCAAGTTTGATTTCAATTGCTTGAAATGGCTATAGGTTTTAGAGGGGGGGACATGATTTTGTGGATGGTCATGAGTGAAACCATAAGGGTTCCACATTTCGATTCACTGAGTGAACGGAACCCTAAAAATCACATAATTTTAAAATGAAATAATTTAATATTATATATATATGAGGCAAAATTCCTGAAATGTCCGAACAAAAAATTAAAAGTTCTCGAATTTAATCCATACTTTTCTAAAATGTTGTTATTGTTGGTGAAAGTCTAAAAATCAATTATTATTGAATTTAATAAAATAGTTTTTGAATTACAACGTTTTTAATTTTTAACTTTTGAAAAAAAATTTTTTTTTCAATGTACAATATTTATAAGTAGAATGCATAAAAGTTAACATATATATATAATGATTTTTAAAGCTTTTTTGACGGGCTACACGCTGTTAATAAAATTTTTTTTTTTTAAATAACATTTGACCTTGAAATTCAAGGTCAAAATGTTAATTTACGTTTATCTCAAAATCGGATTTTTTAAAATTATTTTTAACTATCTCAATGGAAAGCTTGACTAATTTCCTACAAAACATGTAATTTTCAGAGTGGGATCTTTTAAAGTTTTTGAGATATTAATTAATTAATTAATTAATGTTTATAACAAATGAAATATTTTACAAACGAATAAAGTTACCGTAATTCTGAAGTTAGCAATTGAAACTTAACGTGATTCCGCATCCAACGAGCCCTGTATGAAGTATTTTGGATAAGTAGATTGTTAATAAACAATTAGTTAACATTGCAATTGTTTATTACCAATCTACTTATCCAAAATACTTCATATAGGGCTCGTTGGATGCGGAATTAGCTTAACTTTCAATTGGTTAATTTAGATTTACGATAACTTTATTTGTTTGTAAGATATTTCATTTTTTATTGTTATTTAACTAAAATTGAACAAAAATACTTCATATAGGGCTTTTGGATGCTTGTTGTTAGTAAAAAATAAAATATTTTACAAACAAATAAAGTTATGGTAATTCTGAACTTACCAATTGAAAGTTTTTTTAAATTACAGGGAAATGTATCCTTCAAAAGAATGGCTTTTTCTATTGTAGATTTAAGCCAAAAAATATGAACAATATAAAACGTTTCAGATTGAAGATGATGAAAAAATATTAAATGCAAGCAAGAAGAGAATGACGTAGTAGACCTCATTATACCATGTCAAATCAATCTATCTAATCGTTCATTTTGGTCGAACTAAATATAATCAGTTAAATGGCCTATTCTGTTTAGTAAAATGTAAAGATTCAATTAAATGTTTATCGAAAGAAAAAAAAATTACTAACAGAAATGAAATGCACAAATCTATTGGTTTTTCCGCAATCTGCTTAATTATGTTGATAACCAATCAGATTTGTACATTTATTTTCTGTCGGTAGATTTCTTTTTGTGACAGAACTATTAAACATGTTTAATAAACACAAACATCTCCTTTTTTTATGTATGTAATTAAACATAATAAATTATATTCTTTAAACATTTAAAACATTGTTATCAATTATTTTTTGTTATTTATAAACAAATTATCCCTGTTATTTAGTTTATAAACTAACAAAATCAAAATGATAAAAAAAATAATATATTTATTTATTTATTTAATCATAATGTACGGGCTTAGAAGAATATTTACATATGGATCAATCCATTAGATTTTGAGGTTATCTTCGTCTCTTGATTCATCTTTTTCGACCTACTTTCGAGGTTATATTAACTAATTAATTCTTATGACTGATATGTTCGAAATTTAAGGTTATGTTAAAAAATAACTAAAGAAATCGCCCCTCTCTTTCTTTAACACCTTCTGAGAATATAACCTTAAAATTAGGTCAAAGGTCAAGGTTAAGTGAAACACAGAAACACAAAATTCAAAGTAAGAGGTAAAGGGTCTGGGTTTGAATTTGGATTGAAGTTAAAATCGGAAAAGCATAACCTCAAAATGTCAATTTGTCGATTGACAAACGAACTTAACCTCAAAAATTACGGTCATATTTTAATGATTTATAGATAAAAAGGTAAATAAAAGAAGTAATGGATACCTGTAGTCTGTCGTTTGTAGTTCAATATGAAAAACGTTAAGTTTTCTTTTTTATTCATTATTTAAACAAACTAAATAAACATGCAAAATAATACTAAATGAAATAAATATAAAATAAATAAATATTATAAAATACAATTAAATAAATAAAATATTGTTAATTAAAATTAAATATTTTATAAATAACAGCTCATGAAATTCTATTAAATAAAAATTTAACAAATTGATTTTGAACATTATTTCAGACGCTCCTCGACAATAGGTATACATATATACCTAAGCTCCTAAAAATGTTAGGTTCTGTTTAGTGATAGTTTTAGCTCAATAAATTTTTTTCTTTTAATTAGGCAAAATTAAAAATAGATTTTATTTAATATTTTGGATGTAATAAAGACTGAAACATCAATGGTTTTTATAAATAGTTGATCCTCTTCTTGTATTTACACTTTAAAAATCAAAAACATAAACTAAAGTTTTATATTTATACGTCTCAACTTGAGACACATTTTTGTTTTTTTTTTAATACGTATATTTAGGTATTTTAATGCACTGACTACTATAATAAAATAGTAAAAATACTTGTAAATTTTATCAATTTAATATAATATATAGGAAAAAATAAAACTTATCACGACAATTCGTAAAAGCAACATTTTTTTTTAATCTATGCAGTAACATAAAAATGAAAAAATAAAAAGTTTTATTATTTTCAAACTCGACAAATGTGTAAAAAAAAATGTGTAAAAGAAACTTTTTTTAACTCGTGACTTGAAAATAAATTACTTCAGTAATTCTATATTGTTTTAAAGGAAAGAACTTTTGTTTTCATATTTTCGTGAAATTACAAAGAAAAGTAATTTGAATTCATCATGAATGTTAATAACATTTTCATATTATTCATTTTATCTGTTGTAATTAATAATTATCAATTAATTACTGCTCAACCTGATGATGATGATATCGAAAAAAAATATGATCCTGGGAGTAAGTTTTATTTCATTTTTTTTGTAACTTACGTTTTGTATTGAACAATAGAAAATAAAAAATTTCAATAAATATATGAAAAAAATTTATGAATTAAGTTTCATTTTAAAAACTTTTTTTTTTAAAAAAAAAGTAAATAAAAGTTTATTATAAGGTTTCGTTATAAATCTAATTTTGAATTTTTGAGGCTAAGTTCGCATTTTAACATCAGTTTTGACATAATTTTGAGGTTATGTTTTAACCTCAAATAGCGATCTCTTATACCTTATGACCTGACAATTTTCATGGCCAAAATACTATAACAAACCTAAAAAAAAAATAAATTGTTTTAGTATTTAAACATGCAATTGTGTAAAATTTTTTTGAAAAATCGAATAAATATAATAAAATAATAAAATAATTTTTCTAGTCCACTGCATCGGAAAGGATAAAATAAAAATACTATTCACTGAATCATCTGAAGTAAGTCATGAACAGGTCAAACATGTTAATGTCGATTATTATTTCTGTCCTGGTAAATATCATGGATATTTGAAAGAAAGAATGGCAAAAAGTATGTATAAAAGCTATTCAAAACAATGTTATACATAATAAATTGATTGTAGAAATTAATGTTATAGGGTAAGTTGGGGGTAAATGGGGACAGAGGGTATATGGGGACAAAAGGTGTTGGAGCTTAATTTACAGTTTTAAAATAAAGTTCAAAGACAATATGTTAACCTCAGATCAACTACAAGAGATTCTGAGTATTGCCAAGTTTTTATCTTGACAATTGGCAGCAAGATCCCACCTACAGCACCCAAAATTTCCTAAAACTTGACAGAGCCTCACACGGCAAGGTTAGGAAACTTCAGTGGCAAGGTTCATACAAGTTTGTGTCGATGTTTAAATGTCCGCATGAAAAGAATATTTACACGAAACTATGAGGAAATATTACACTATAAATATTCACATGCAATGTTCAGTCAATGTTGTGTCAATATTCACCTATATTTATTATATTAGTAAATGAAATTTTTATAACTAGGCGAAAATGTAATTTCAATATTGATACAACATTGACTGAACATTGCACGTGAATATTTATATGTGTAATATTTCCTCAAAGTTTCGTGTGAATATTCTTTTCATGTGGACATTTAAATATCGACAAAAACTTGTATAAACCTTGCCACGAAAGTTTCCTAACCTCGCCATGTGAGATACTGTCAAGTTTCAGGGAATTTTGGGTGCTATGTATGGGATAATAATTCATGTTATCGCTCAATGCATAAAAACTTGAAAATCAAAGACAAACTGTTTCAATAAATTATCTCGCATTTCAAAGAAAACAGACTTAAAAATAATACAAAAATTTTTTTCTTATTCCTTATGACTCCTATAACAGAAATTCAATTGAATTTTTGACTTTTGTCAATTTGGTCAAACTGTCCCCATTTTCCCTGAGTTTTCAAATTTTTGGGGGTAAAGTATACAGTAATATACTTAAGGAAACATTTTTCTTAAACCTTTCATAGAAACTATGCTGTATCCCCATTTACCCCAAATTTTATGAAATTTTTTAAATTTTGTAATAAATGGGGACAGTCAGTTTTATGCGTTTAAAGCTTATCTAAATTTTTTTTTGATGCATAAAATTAATCCTGGAAATGTAAATAATAACTTAAAAAAAAATAAACCCGCAAATGGAAGAAACTTACGTAATTTATGAAAAAAGCGATTTTGTCCCCATTTACCCCAACTGACCCCATTTAATTTAATTTTACATTTTTCTCAAATTGCAGAATATTGTATTGATAAAAATAATAGAAACGATAATGGTTCATATATGTGTAGACCGTATCCATTTATTTGGAATCGTAAACCTTCTACTAAAAATTTTTTTAATCAAAATGATCATCATTCGATGTCATGTTTGAAGGTGTTGAAAAAAAAGACACATTTTAAAAAGTCGAGCGAGAAAAATCCTGACGATGTTGATTTCACAGGTTACTATTTTAAAGATGAGGCTATAGGTATGTTCTATTTTTTTCAACTTAATATTAGACAATAAAAAAATGAAATTTTAAACATTTAAGTAATTATAGAATTAATGATTTTAAAAATATTTTAAATAATAATAAATTAAATATATATATATATATATATATGTTGAATAAACTACAATACATAAAGAATAAAAAGTACAACTTTAACCAAGCGAGCGATTGCAAACGAGGAATATATCGCTATAGTATATAATTATAATTGAGATTTTAGAAATTGTTTAAATCTAAAGATTGAAATACAAAAAATTATTTAAAAACGGAATAATAAATCATATAATATATTAATATAATTATTTTAGCCAAATGCATAAGTACGCGAAAAGTATATGTACATTTTTATTATTCAGTACAAACAGCAATGACATTTTATTTCTGTTATGGCAATAAACATATTTATCGATGGAAAAATGATGCATTACGTAAGTAAAAATCATGCTTAATGTAGCGTTACAAAATAATTAATAGTAACTATAATAGTAATTTTATTTGTTTTTAAATTGCAGAATTATGTATTAACCATTTTTCTAATAATAAATATAAATGTAAAATACATCCAGGTTCTTAAATATAATACGAATATTTTTTTCTCATGTTATTCAAATAACATTTAAATTGTATACAATTCATAAACAAATGAATTTACTACTGTTAAATTTTACGACTTTACTTGATAAATAAAGATAACAGTACATAAAAATAATATATGTATCTTCTAAAATTTATTTTTGTCTTAAATAAAAATGGTTTTTTTTTTAATTAATATATAATCGCATTTGATAAAAAAAATTATGTTCTTTGTGAAAATAAATTTTTCCTCGTTTTTTCAAACAAAAGTTTAACTTAACGATGTTAGCCGTTTTTCAAGATCGACATTGATACTCGTTGCTCGGGGGTTTTTGGGGTTTGCTGATGACGTATCCGATGTCAGTTTTTCAAAATTCAAAATGGCGAACTATTTTTTATAAAATTATTCGAATTGGCTTCAAACTCTCTAATTGGGGGTTTTCGGGGTCGCTGATTTTGAATCCGATGTCAGTTTTTTAAAATTCAAAATGGCGGTTCCAATATTGCTGATAAGTAACGAGTTTTAAGTATATGATATCGATGTATTGTAAAAAATTCATTTACAATATTAAATTAAAAATTTTGCTTCCTCGTGGAGGAAGCTTTCGTTTATAAAAATTTTCAAAGTGTCGGAAACAAATTTTTCACTATATAGAAACATGTTATATGAGATCCTGATCAATTGTCCGGATGTATGTATGTGTGTGTGTGTGGATCCCTTTTTTGGTTAGAAGATAACTTTAACAGGTTTTAATAGATTTAGATAACATTTGGTAGGCTTATTTATCATATTAATATCTGAAAACTGACCAAAGGATTTTAAAAAATACCCAAAAAAATAAATTTTATCGTCTTTTTTCCAAAAAATTTTTTTTAATCGAAAAAATTTTTAAATAGAAAAATTTAAGGTTATATATGGGGCATTCTATGGGAAATTTTCATTAAAAATTTTTTTTTGTCCGAAACATTTTTTTTCGAAATCTATATGAAAAATAAGGAAATACATAGTTTTTAATTTTTTTATTTGATGAAAATGAAGGAAGTTATGATTTTTTGAAATTTAACGTCAACGAAGAAAGTGTGTTTTTGGAACATTTTTTAATCTATTGTACTAAGAAATTAAAAATTATGCTATATATGAAATTTGATCATTTTTGCTCAAATTTTTCAAATATGTGCTAAAAAATAACGTACCTATAACAGAAACAACAAAAAAGTTGAAATTAAACTTATGAAGAGAGTTTTCTCAAAAGAGACACTTTCGATTTTTAATTTTTTTTTTTGCATTATAATCTCTGATGATTGAAGAATTTTTTCCCCTATCTGCGAAAGTGGTATTTGGTTATTTGGCAAAATTGCACCAACTTTGCTACAAGCTTAATGTGCAAGCTTACTGAGCAATCTTACTGATTCAAATAGCTAGAATTTAGCGACTGATTTGAGAGCAGTGACTTTTTCACTGTTTCATATTTAGAGAGTAGGCAACATTTAAATTTTTTTTCTAAACCTAGTTACGAATTATTTAAAATAACAATATTATCAAAATATTAAATATTTAATTATTATTATAATTATTATTATAATATTATATTATATTAAAATTTGATTTGGTTCTGTGGGAAATATTGTCTCGTAGAATATTACTTTCGTGGAAAAAAAATCTGAATGATTATTTTGCAGAAAAAAGATTAGAAAGAATATTAATTTTGCACAAAGTGAGATTCAATCAAATTTAATTTCTGGCAAATTAATTTTCATCTAAATAAAATTTATGCAACATTTATAATCGATTTTATTAAATTTCTGCAAAATTAATATTTAAAAAATTTAATATTTTTCAAAGTAATAATAATAATAATAAATTTTTTGCAATCAGAGTTGTTAAATGATAATTTTTTATTATTGTTCGACAAATCGATATTCTTTTAAGCATTCAGTTATTTACAATTGCCTCTTTATTGCTTTAAAATTTTTAACATTTATTAAATTTTATTAAAAATATTACTATTTTTGGATTAAAAAAATTGTTCTAATATATTTTAGTATTTAATTTTTAGAAACTTTATTTTTATTAAAACTTGTAAAAATCTAGTTTATAAAAATGAGTGCTAATAAGAAATATATATTTTTCATTTGTTAAATTAAATGTTAATAAAATTGTTAAACAAATAAAAATTATAAATAGTGAAACTTTTATCATTACTTTTATTTATTTTAAATTTCGACTTCATGAATTTGAATTTCAGGTGTCATTTAAACTTATTATAAAATTCAACTTTTGAGTTCATAATTTCAAAACTTACGAATTATTTTTAAAGACGCGTTTCAAATGATTTAATTCTTTGAAATTACATATTAAGACTCAAGATGCAAAAGCGAACAATGACATTATCAACCAGCATTCGGATAATCCAATTTTTCATAATAATGACGATCTAGATTTTCAAAATAATATACCGAGAGACATTGTAGAAGAATTTAATTTAAAATTAATATTCAGTGAAATTAATTTTTTAAATAATAAGTTGATTATTGTAGAGAAACTCAGTCAAATAAAAATTCGTCACCTAAAAAATCTGTTAAGTAAAAATTAGTTTCTTACAAATCAACTTCTCTATCAAAGTATCTAAAAGGTTCTATTAAATTTTTAGAAAATTCTATAAAGTTTTTAAAAGATTCTATATAAAATTTCCAGTTATTTTACAAAAAATTTTCAGAACGTTCCAATAAGTTTTTAGAAAGTTTCATAAAATTTTGTAGATATTTAAATTAAATTTAATTTAGAGATGAATAAATAGATTAAAAAATTTTTAGAATAAAATTAAAAATAATTTTCAAAAAAAAAAAAAAGGTGTATATTAGAAATAATTCCTCCTATAGCTAATAAAACCACTAAGAGTTAATCTGATCAACTCTATAAGTGACATTATAGATATGGGGCATTCTATGGGAAATTTTCATTGGAAATTTTTTTTTGTCCGAAACATTTTTTTTCGAAATCTATATGAAAAATAAGGAAATACATATTTTTTAATTTTTTTATTTGATGAAAATGAAGGAAGTTATGATTTTTTGAAATTTAACGTCAACGAAGAAAGTGTGTTTTTGGAACATTTTTTAATCTATTGTACTAAGAAATTAAAAATTATGCTATATATGAAATTTGTTAATTTTTGCTCAAATTTTTCAAATATGTGCTAAAAAATAACGTACCTATAAGAGAAACAACAAAAATGTTGAAATTAAACTTATGAAGTGAGTTTTCTCAAAAGAGACACTTTCGATTTTTAATTTTTTTTTGCATTACAATCTCTGATGACTGAAGAATTTTTTCCCCTATCTGCGAAAGTGGTATTTTTAGTTTTTAAATTAGTATTTATAATTTTTTTAGTACGGCTCACAGAATTTAAACATTTTTTCTACAAATATAACCTTTTTCCATTAACATTCATTTGTTTTTTTTTAATTTTCCTAAAAACATACTAAAAATCGTTGCGTCAAGCTGAAAAGTTGTAAATAGTAATTTAAAAACTAAAATCACGACTTTCGCAGATAGGGGAAAAAATTCTTCAGTCATCAGAGATTGTAATGCAAAAAAAAAATTAAAAATCGAAAGTGTCTCTTTTGAGAAAACTCACTTCATAAGTTTAATTTCAACTTTTTTGTTGTTTCTGTTATAGGTACGTTATTTTTTAGCACATATTTGAAAAATTTGAGAAAAAATGAACAAATTTCATATATAGCATAATTTTTAATTTCTTAGTACAATAGATTAAAAAATGTTCCAAAAACACACTTTCTTCGTTGACGTTAAATTTCAAAAAATCATAACTTCCTTCATTTTCATCAAATAAAAAAATTTTAAACTATGTATTTCCTTATTTTTCATATAGATTTCGAAAAAAAATGTTTCGGACAAAAAAAAATTTCCAATGAAAATTTCCCATAGAATGCCCCATATAATAAAATCGTATTCCTTACGTCAAGACTAATCGATTGGTATCTATAAATTACACAGCCACACAAAAAAAAAGTGTCTTGTACTTTTGACCGGAATACCCTAACCCTATGTATTTTGACGCGCTGAACACGAATCCGAAGTCCGTTTTGCTCCATCACGTCAGGATTTTTTTCTAACCTCAAAAAACATGTCGGATTTTGAGAAGTAGGCGATTTTTTTAAAAATTGATGTATTAACTTCAAACTTGGTATGTGGGGGTTTTTTGTGTCGCTGATTACGAATCTGAAGTTAGATTTTCAAAATCAAAAATGGCGGATCCAATATGGCGGACGAATTTTGAAAAAATTTTCAGATTTACTTCAAACTTGGTATCTAGGGGTTTTTTGGGTCGCTGATTACGAATCTGATGTCAGTTTTCAAAAATTGATAATGGCGTATCTAATGTGGCCGATAGAAGTCCATGTTGGATATGCCATTTTGAATTTTTGAAATCTGACATCAGATTCGTAATCAGTGACCCAAAAAAACCCCCAGATACACTATTGCACATTAATTTTTGAAAAATTTCGTAAAATAATGTCCCCCTACCAAAAAAAAAATTCAAGGGGTATTTCCCCCCCCATAAATCAGCTTTTGGGGAAAAACAAAACATACGTGTCAAATTGTTTTCAAAAAACTACAAAACTGCCAAGTTTCAGAAAAATCGGCGTATGGCACTTCCCTAGTGTTACTTGTCAGCAACTTAGAAAACCTGTAGATACCAAATTTCATAATCATCTGACAATTTTTTAAAAATAATTCCTTAATATTGAATCAGACATATCGAATTTCGGAAATCTGACATCAGATTCGTAATCAGCGACCCAAAAAACCCCTAGATACCAAGTTTGAAGTAAATCTTAAAATTTTTTCAAAATTCGTCCGCCATATTGGATCCGCCATTTTGGATTTTGAAAATCTAACTTCAGATTCGTAATCAGCGACACAAAAAACCCCCACATACCAAGTTTGAAGTTAATACATCAATTTTTAAAAAAATCGCCTACTTCTCAAAATCCGACATGTTTTTTGAGGTTAGAAAAAAATCCTGACGTGATGGAGCAAAACGGACTTCGGATTCGTATTCAGCGCGTCAAAAAACATAGGGTTAGGATATTCCGGTTAAAAGTACATGA